AAATTTCTGCAATCCGTGTATTATTTTGAGAAAAACTGCGTCCGGCAAGTGTGTAGAATTCCCTCGTTCCGTTGAGAAATTGCCAGATTTCCGCAATCTACGATAAATTTCCCTAAAATTCTGTTCTTCCGCAAACACTGATGACATCTTCATTTGGAGAAAAAAGGCAAGGATCTACCCCTGTGCTTTGCAGACAAATATTCTTGCTGGTATTAACTGCGGGTACGAAGGTCTTTTAATGCAGAACACGGGAAAAGGTGAACCACGTTGAAGTATATATATTTGTCTCAGGATTTTCCAATTTCCAAGTCCGGGTTTTCCGTTTTTCATAACTATTTTCCGGGTTTTGGGTCCTAGGTACTCTCAAAACACCCCCTTTTCATGTGCGCACTTCTCAATTGAAAAGTTTGCAATTTTTTGGATTATACGTAATTTGGAAGTTATCTCTTTTTCTGGTAAAGAAGGGCATAAAGGGAGCTGCCCCAGCATCAAGCTGTAGTTTTGTGCAGCCACTTTGAATTTGCACTGAATTTGGCAGTGTTTTTTACGTCTTAGTAAAAAAAATTACTAAGATGGAGGATGTCAATGAAATAAGTTGAAAAACTGTCAGAATTGAAATCTTCATCTTTAATTTAGTTTATAATGAAAAAATCTTGTTGTTTGGACCGTTCGGTCACGAGTTAGTTTGTTTTGAATATTTAGATATTTCTTTAGATTTGACCGGAATTTGCTGCTGCAGTAAGAAAATTTCACTAGAGTGGACCGGGGCTGAGTGGGCCCAGGTTGAGTCAGCCTGGGTTGAGTGGGCACGGGTTGAGTCAGCCCGGGCTGAGTGGGCCCAGGTTGAGTCAGCCCAAGGTTAGTGGCCCTGGGCTGAGTGGACCCAGGTTGAGTCAGCCCGGGCTGAGTGGGCCCGGTTTAAGTCAGCCCGGGCTGAGTGGGCCCTGGCTGAGTCAGCCTAGGCTGACTGGTTCCGGTTTAAGTCAGCCCGGGCTGAGTGGGTATTATCATATTTTATCTAATTCACACACTTAATGATTTTGCATCGATAGAATTTGCGATAAAAAACGAAAATATTCAGCAAGAGGATCAGCCATTTTTTCCGCGCGCTTTTCAATATTCACTTGTCCCACTTTGTTTCTGCCCAATTACCTCTAAATTTGCATATTCTAAGGGAACGTATGTTAAATAAAAGTTATTCAGCATGAAATTATCTTTCAAAAAACGTACATACTATGTGGTTTTAGCAACATCAAAATTTTGAACCACTACTGATCAGTGCGCCATTATGGTATTTGCCCAAATAAGGAATTCCCAATGTCCAATTGATGGGGCTTTTTTCTGGTCATTTCCAACTTAGTATAGAACATCTGTGCCAAATTACAGCTTTATATTATTTTTATCCGGGTTAGACCGTTTTTATATCTAATTCCACTACACTAAAAGGGGGGTCTCATTCGAAATGATTGTGGTTAAATCGAATTATTACGGTTTAAAACTTTCAACAACTGTTATAAATTTGTTATACTAACAACATTACTAAAATTGAAAACTTTTCGTAGATAACGCACAGATAACGCACAAACAAGGATGTCAGTCCCTAGATTTATAACAAACGTCTTCTTTTAAAATTTTCCTCGCAGAACTTTGGAAAAGTGCCTTTTTTCTTAGACAAAACGCCCCTTCCCAAATTTTCCACTCCAGTTTTTCAGGCTTTTGACGTTCCTGTCTACAGATCTGCGGACATTTACTAAGAACTAAGACATGTCATCTCAAAATCTATTTAAAATGTTTTAACATCTTCATGAATTACAATCACTGAATTTCGATGCTACCATCTTAAACGTTGGCTGCAACTCCAACACTTACGTTCTAGAATGCATTTCTAAATGGAAGGCACACACAACACACAACGTAAGATAACACATCCACTTATTCTACGAAAAAGGTACCAGGTTGCACATCCCCAGAAGAACTAGCAGAATAAAATGTTTCTTCTACTACTATGAGCATTTTAGACTCATTTTTCTAAATTTTTAGGTGCAAGTAAAATAAGGACGATCATACGAGAGAATGTAGTGTAAGTGAGCAAAGAAACAATTAGCATTAAAAACATCAAGGAATCTATCTACATAAATTTGAGAAAGCTCAGTGTGCAGTGCAGACAGAAGGAATTTTACCGTACAACTCCATTGGTCATATTTCAGAACGATCAATAACTGGGTATATATATTTCCTTTCCAGTTTTCGATCTATGTTCTGATGTTTTATACTCTGAAGAAAAGTGACAAACAAAAAGCTTAAGCAGGTTTCAAAATGTTTGCTCTTTTTAGAGCCATTTTTAATTTTTGTACCACCAAAAATTGTTTTAAAAATCAAGCTGTTACCTCAGTCTAAAGACAGGAGGCAGAAAAAACACACCGTGGTACATTAATATTTTGGCCTGCAAAGAACAGCAATGAGCAAATATAAATCATCTGCTCCTGCGTGTAGGCCTTGAAACAAGCAGATGTACAAATCACAGACTTATGTTTAGAATAGAACAAAATAAGCAATACACCTACAATTATCTTACTATATTAAAATATTGCCAAAATTGCCAAATTAGCTTCATGTCACAAAACAGATTCATGTGACGTAGTATGACATTACGTGATACCGAAACTTGTTTACTATGCAAGTACATTTGGAAGGAAAATGTTTTTTGATCTTCTGCACATCTTATCAGATAAAAAGTTTCAAAATCGTTTACTACAGAGCCTTTCAAGAGCTTCAATGTACACAGTCTGATTCGAATATGCAACTGTAAAACATCTTTTATCCTTTCAAAATGTGAATCATGTTTTCCGTCACTGGTATTTTGAGCCAATGATTTCATGAGATCCCGTGTGTTTTACGACAAGTTATATTTTATGAAAAAATTATGATCGTGTTATCATGGTTGTTTTAACTATGGTTTTAAAACTCAACAAAGGTACCAAATTACCTAAACATAAAATACGAATCATTTTCCTGAAAGCATAGCACTTAAGAAGAACCTATTCATACAGGCGTTCAAGACATGCATTTGACAGTACCTTTTGAACCACAGGAACCAAAGGAAGACACAATTCTTAGGTTACGTGACATACTGTTTTAATTTACTTATTTAACAAATTTACGGGTTCTTGCCGCTCATACCTTTTTATCACAAAAGAATTTCCGTGTAATTATAGCGATAAATGTGAATTTTGCCTTGAAATAATGTCATTATCATTCCTCTGAACCTTCATTGAAAACTAAGGAGAGGGGGACCCACTGAAAATGATTTTGCTGCTTAGTGGTGATATAGCTTTGAATCCTGGTCCATCTTCGACAGAACACAGCAATTTGGAAGATTTTACAAGTTCTCGTGGCATCAAGTTGTTACATCAAAATATATGTGAACTTTACGATCTCGAAGAGTTTTTGTCAAGATTGGCATATGGTAACATCCCTGTCATGGGAATAAGTGAGAGTCATCTTGTACCCGACGAAATCTAGGACCTGCCAAGAAATGCTGCAAAGGAAACATAAATTGATGGTTTTGTTACCCACACGGGGATGGGCTGCTAGGGTCCCTTCTACACATGTCTTCGACTAGCAAAAAAGTTAAAAATAGCTCTTCGTGTTTCATAAATATTGCATCTCTTCCAGTCCACTCTTGCTGGTAAAACGTCACACTCTTTAACTTTTGATTAAAGTTTGGTGTTTCTGGAAGAAGACAGAATTCACAGTCAGATGTTTGACTGAGGTTCCATTTCAGCAGATTTTTACGAGTTGGGAGATTGTTGTTAAGATACTTGATGGTAAAGTTGAAGATGTTACTAGGCAAATTGCTCTGTATACTTTACCAAATACCGTTCAGCTTTTCCAGCGAATGTTTCAGTAGGAAGGTAATTGTAGCTCCCTGAGATGGTAAGTTTTAAGAGAGACGTTCTTTGTTGTCTGATTTGACAGCCTTTAATACCTCTTTAGTATTATGATAGATGTCGTACTGTAGGTTCGTGCCATGACTGGTGTTTTTCCATAGGGTTTGAATGTCAATGTTAGGAGAAGATTTTAGGGCATTGCGACAGACAGTTTGGCATTGCGTAAATTTGATAGAAGGCAGTTGTAGATTTAGGCCAAACTGATTTTTTGAGAGGATTATTCCACTTAAGGTAGCAGAAACAGGAAGATCAAGCCACTGGAAACAAGATTGTCCAGGTTTTGGACAACCCAGGTCTTTGGTAGATCTGCAACAGTAACATGCCATGAAACTTTAGACAGAACATAACGATGGTATATAGCAGTTTGTTTTTAGGATGGAGAGGTAAGTCGTCAATATCCTTCATGAAAGTAGAAAAAGAGGAACGAGTTTAGATTTATGATCTTGGTTACTCATTTCAAAATCAAAGAAACGACCAAGATACTTAAAGGAATCGCCATTTTTGACAGCAGGTACTACCTGGTTACAGATGAAAAGTTTCAGTTGAAATTGGAGGGATCGCGTAAAGTGTTTCTTGACACCAAAGGTAACACATTTGTCAACCCTGACAATGAATTTTGCCCATTGGCACCATCTTTAAAGCAGTTTAATAAGAGTTGGTTCTCCTTTTCTCCACTGTTAACAACAGCAGCATCATCAGCAAACTGAAACCAGTGTACTGGCTGAAACATACGGCCATTACCATCATGGGGGGAGAAACCAAGCTGCTTATATTTAGGGTCATGGTATTCAACATGCTACCATGAAAGAAAATATAAGAAAGGAGTGTTACAGGCGAGTAAGGGCTGTCCTAAAAACAGAACTAAACTCACAGAACAGGATTATAGCAATAAACTCATTAGCGATACCTGTTGTGACATATAGTTTTAATGTAATCAACTGGAATTCGACAGAAATTAAGAAAATGGATACAAAGATAAGGAAAATTTTGACATGCAACAGGATGCACCATCCCAAAGCAGACGTTGATCGTCTGTATCTTCCGAGAAGACAGGGTGGAAGAGGCATGATACAACTGGAACTAAGTTATACAACGTCAGCAATAGGACTTATGAAATACCTGGAAACAACAAAAGACTGGATGTTGCAACTTGTCAAGGACCATGAAAATCAGAAAAAGTTGCACTCTATTGTGAAAGAATCAAGGAACTTCGAACGGGAATTAAAAGTAGAAAACAATGAAAGGCAAGGAGAACTAGAAGAAGCAACAAAAGAAGCTAAGAAGTTAAAGGTGAAGGTAAAGGCTGTGGGCCAAAAGATGTTGCAAGAGAAATGGGAACAGAAATCTCTGCATGGAAAGTATGTTCTTCGGAGTAAAGATGCTGATGTAGACCAGACTCACACCCATCAGTGGCTCCGAAGTGCAGGACTGAAAGCAGAGACTGAGGGTTTCCTTCTTGCAGCACAAGATCAAACACTGTCCACAAGAAACTACCAAGCCAACATATTGAAAAATGGAGCAGACCCCAAATGCAGATATTGCAATGAACAGTGTGAGACAGTTGACCATCTTGTATCACGATGTGCTGTACTTGCCCCTAACGAATACAAGGCTAGGCATGATCGAGTTGGACAATGCTTGCATTGGAAAATTTGCCATCACTTTGGTGTTGAAACCCCAAAACACTGGTATGAACATCACCCAGACCCAGTTGTTGAGGGTGACAATGTTTCGATCCTTTGGGACTTCCCTGTTTACACTGACAGAACCATCAATGCTTACCGGCCAGACATCATAATAAAAGACAGGAATGAAGAAACTTGTCTCCTTATTGACATGAGTATACCAACAGACAGAAATATATCAAGTAAAGAATTCGATAAGCTGAGCAAGTACAAAGACCTTGAAATTGAAATCCAAAAAATGTGGAAAGTAAAAGCTACCACTGTACCTGTGATAGTGGGTGCATTGGGAATGATAAAGAAAGGCACAGAAAATCACATCAGCAAGATCCCTGGCGAGCCATCACTAAAGGAAATCCAAAAAATTGTTTTGACTGGCACAGCTCATGTCCTGAGAAGGGCATTGTCAACATGACCGCGGATTATTCCAAGATTTATTTCTGCGGCAGAAAATGTAATAAGTAGTACGGATAGTTAAGTTGGATAATTTGGAGATCATGAAGCGGAGATGATTCTCGCTGATATCTAGAGCGTTGCACATGTCGATGAAAGAGGAGCAAGAGAGACCAAAGATACCTAGGGAACTGATAGAAAGATTAACAAACATGATAGAAGAATAGGCTGAGCTTAGGCTGTGAATGAGATTCGAGTATTTCTCTCTTTTGCGGTTAGCATTAACATCCAAGTTAGTTTCGTATCCTACTGTAAGCTCGAGTATGAATAGCCGATGGTCAGAAGTGACTAGAAGTAGATCAGGACGGAAAGAGTCTCCTGTTATGATAGAGGGTGAGAGATAACCTGAAAGGTCTGCGTAAAGAGAGCAATTAGGTATAGCTTTTAAAGGTTGTGCTAGGAAGTTCAATGCAGAGTTATGGCGCCATGTGTAACTGCCTTCTTCGAGGTATGTTTTGCAGCCTGCAACAATGTGAAGTAACGTTTCTGGCATATGGCAAAAAGAGCAATCGGACGACTGAGTAATGTTCCATTAGGATAGGTTTTTTCGCGTGGCAAGGGAGTTGCTAAGATATTTGATAGTAAAACTGTAAATGTTCTTGGGCATGTTGCTTTGAATCGTGGTCCATATTTTAGAGGCTATAGGAAGAGAGTGGTCAAAGATGAAGGAAAGAACGGTACCTTGAGATACAAGATGGTTTTGAAGGTGCTCTTTATGTTCTGATCTAACAGCCTTCAATACTTCTCTAGTATTCCTGTAAACATCATATTGGATGCTCATGCTCTGGCTGGTATTTTTCCACAAAGATTGGATGTTTTTGTTGGGTGAGGATTTCAGTGCATTACGACAAACAGTTTGACACTGCATGAATTTAACAGAAGGAAGAATCAAGTTAAGACCGGACTGGTTTTTTGACAGAATAATGCCACTTAAAGTAGCACTTATGGGTAAATCGAGCCAACGGCGGATAAATGCAGAAACTTGGTTATCAAGGTTTTCGACGATGCAGGTTTTTGATAGATCGGCTACTGTGAGGTGCCACGAGACTTGTGAGAGAAGATAGCTGTTATAAAGAAGCAGCTTATTCTTTGGATGGAGAGGTAAAGAATCAATTTGCGTTAGGAGTTCTGTGAAGATGGAGCTGAGCTTAGAAATATGTTCTTGGTTGCTCATATTGAAGTCGAAGTGACGCCCAAGATACTTAAAAGACTCTCCAGTTATGACAGGAGGGACCATTTCATTATTGATGAAGAGCTTTGGCCGATATTGTAGGGAGCGTGTTGAGAATTTTTTAATACCAAAGGTTGTGCATTTGTCTACTATTATAATCATGTTAGACCATTGACACCATCTTGTAAAGCAGTTTAAGAGTAGCTGGTTTTCTTTCTCCCCGTTTGTAATGACTGCAGCATCGTCTGCAAACTGAAACCAGTGCTCTGGGGTAAACATACAGTTTGGTTGGCTATGGGGAGAGAAACCAAGTTGTTTGAATTTTTCTGCCTTTATGTATTGAATGAAAGTGTTAAAGCACATGTTAAATAGAAGGGGACTGAGGCAATCACCTTGAAGAACTCCACGTTTAACAGGAATAGCAGGGGTAACAAATTTATCTGTGATAATAGAGGTTTTAAAATTTATGTAGAGACTTGAAATCAGAGACTGGATGTTTTCTGGTACGTGGTGATAAGACAGAACAGATTTGATTAGATTGTGATGAGCCTCTCCAAAGGCATTTTTTAGATCCAATAATGTTATGACTAGAGACCGTTGTTTTATTCGAGCTTTGTCGATTATATGGCTCATCATCGCAGTATGTTCTAGTGTACCCGATATCTGATGGGTAAAACCTTTTTGAATTTGATGTTCTATGAAACCATTTTGTTTGAGAAAATCAAATACAGAATCTCGGAGGCAAGATGTGAAGATTTTTAGTGGGACGGATTGGAGAATAATAATAATAATAATAATAATAATAATAATAATAATAATAATAATAATAATAATAATAATAATAATAATAATGATAATAATAATAATAATAATAATAATAATGGAAACATTTCATTTTCAATTCAACTTAAACTACAATTACAAATCTCACTATTACAAGGTAATTTGCAATTGGCTAGCCTGGTTTTACAAGAAAAAACTTTAACAATCGTAAGGTAAAAGGAAAAACTGAGAAAAAAAAATAAAACAACTAAAGTTAAGAAGGATGTAATTCCGGATTTGTCCATGGCTTATTTTTGCAACAAAATATGTAATACGTAGTACGGATGGCAATGTTGGAAAGTTTAGAAATGAGATACCGTTTTTGTTGCTGATCGATGGAGAGAGAGTCACACATTTTGAAGAATGAATTGCAGGAATTGCCGAAGATGCCAAGAGAGCTCATAGAAAGATTAACAAAGGAGACACATTTGAACTGCCGCTGTTAACCAGATAAGAGAGGAGCATACTTGCTGTGTTTTCTTGTTGCATTAGTCTCAAGATTGGATTCGAAACCAACAGTTAGCTCTAAGATGTAGAGGCAATTGTTGTTAGTCCTCAAGAGAAGATCAGGGCGAAGGTTTTCTCCAGTTATGATTGATGGTGAAAGAAAGCCAGGTATATCAGCGTAGATGGTAGATTCATTGACAGCTTTTAGCGACGTAGCTAGAAAGTTTAGAATAGAGTTATGTCTCCAGGTGTATCGGCCTTGTTCCAGATATGTTTTACAGCCAGCAAAATAATAATAATAATAATAATAATGGATGTTAACAGATCCACATAACATAGCTATTCTCTGTTAAATAATAAGTGAAATATTGCCCTTAATAAAGAAATATTGTCCTGAAAAGATGTTAAAAAAGTGTCTATTAAATACGTTAGGGGAAAAACAATTTCCTAAACTAACTTAATGCATTGTACAATTAAAAACGGCTTATTCAATTTATTAAAAACGTTGCGATTTCATTCTTTAAAAAGTCTTTCGACGATGATACAAATTTACTATATACACCACAGTTCCTTATGTTTTCTGGCAAAGAATTGAAGAGTCTTGCTGCATTATCCTGGAAGGTTCTGGTTTCCTTTGGTACAATTAGTGTTTTGGCTCTGCTTTATCGAAGCTCTCTGTTAAATTTTTCTTGTCTAGAGGCAAGTATGTTGGCCAGGACTTACCATTAATCGCTTTGAATGCAGATTTAGCTCCCTTCGTTCTTTTATTGGCAACCAAATCATTGCAGAATCGCTTACATACTTGCCAGTTACAAAAGATGCAGCAGCGAATTGCATTTTCTGCAAGCGTTTTTGCTGTGCAACAGTAAGTGGTGTATACACTTGGTCTCCATAGTCAATCTCTGAGAAGATGAGTGACTCTGCCAGCTGCTTCTGAACATTAAAGGGGGCCATTTTCTTTAACTTCTTCAGAATAGCTAGCGTACCGTAGCAAGAGCCGGTAATGACCTTTATATGGTTATCCCAAGTTAGATGATTATTCAAATGTACTCATAAAAGCTTGCATGCATCAGTTCTTTCTAATTTCTAATATGTCTATGTTCAAGCAACGAACAACGTCCCAACTCCGCATAAACCCCAGGAGACGTTGTAGAGCCTTTCACACCTAGGGATGACTTGCAAGCCATAAGATGAAGTTCTTCCGGGCATTCCCATATACTTTTAGATGTAAACAAAGATCAATAAAAATCTGACATATTGTTATTATATTGTCTGTAAGAAGTTACAGTTACTTATGAAAATGCTTCTGTTGTCGTGGATAGGCCTATCCGTACTTTTTGGATCCGATCCGGATAGTGTAAACGGGGTTTTACTTCGAAGATGTTCCCTGAACAGCATGCCAATGGTCTTAGTACGTTACCTTTGAAACAATCGTGTTAGATCCGGTAAAGCACCGTGTGAAATATCGTTGTCGTCGGTTTAAAAACAAAGTCGTTAAACATCTTGAGAATCAAACCAATTATTGTACAATGAATAGCCATTGCGATTGTGGCATGACAGTCATATTGATTTGCTATTAACAGCGCAAGCATCAAAGGCTGGCCAAAATTCTAAGCTGATGAAAAAACAGAAAAACCAGGTCACATTTCCAAGTTGCTACTGCTAGGAATTGAATTCATTGATTAGAGCCATTTAAGACTGATGATCTGATTGAGAGATCTAGAAAATCTCCAAATCATTGGTTTTGCGCTGATGCTAACTCAATGTTTACACCAACCTTAACCTTACTCACCTTTGACTTTACAAACATATTATATATGTTGCAGTAATCACATATTGAAATTGCAGTAATCACCTTTTGAAATTGCAGTAATCCACTATCGATGTTGCAGCAATAGAGGGTTAACAATATTGTGGAATTATTTGCACTCTATTTCTAAGGTGACCTTTTACAGAAAGGCTTCTGTAAACAAGTAGAGCAGCAGTTGTCTACGAGAGACAACGAGATGAATTTAGGGACAGGGCGACGCAAAACTGCCAAACTTGCTATCAAAATATGCGTGCCTACGTAATTTGATAAAGCAACAAAACTTTTCTCCAAAAATCCTATCAACGGCTCTCAAAATCTGCAAGATTATCTCAAAAACTGATATGTCGCCAGGATGCCTCTTCAATCGCAGATTGTTAAAAATGTAACATATATACTTCTTTGGCAAATACAATGTGATTTAACATTGTTCACTTTATTGATATAAATAAATTGTACGGCATTCAAACTTTGACAGACTTACGTTTTAGAATCACGCATTGCTACAAAATTGTACTGCAAGCAACGTCGAAATTGACAACGGGCATCTCTAGACATAAGCCTCAGCCATAAACGCAGAAAATTAAAACGTTAATAAAGATTGCACTGTATGGGTGCGAGAGTTGGACAGTAGGCAAAACCGAGATATAGGCCTTAGCATGAATGCCTAAAAATCATGAGCTAAGCGTCGGTTAGCTTGATCGTAAGAGTGGCCAATCAAACAAGGCCAATTGAGAAAGTATGGCATTGGAAAAG